ACACTCCAATCCACGGCAGCAGGCACACACACACACAACCCTGCCGCAACACCAACACACAGATGGAGGAGGGAGAAGCAAACAGGAGCGGCACACAAGGCTCCACCGCATGCACATACGGCGAGAGCGGTCCGTCGTGTCGGCACCCCTCACGGAGGGTGCGCACACACACAAGAAGGTGCAGCGCACACAGCAACAAAAAGGCAAAGTAACAATACAAAAAAAAGATCCCTGCACACCACGCGGATTGTTGGTCCACGGGAGGTGCAGCCACCACCGCAGCAGCCGCACAGGTAAAAACAAGCGCAAGGAATGCAATAATGCAAGCATTCATTTATTTGTTTTTCTGTTTGGATGTTGGCGGATGTGTGCATATGTTTTGTTCGTCTGGGTTTTTGCAGACGGCAAACCTTCATGCCTGGATCGTGTGTTTCAAGAATTTCCGCAAGGTGCACAATTATTTGTTTTCCTCTTGTGAATGTTTCTTGTGTTGGTGCAGCCAATAATTCGGTGTGTGTTGTTCCTGCCTTTCGCTGGTAAAGTGCTGCAGTAGATGTTTGTGTTTCCTTTCGTTGCCGTGGCACCTGATTCCTCGCCGTTTGTTGTGGTGGAAATGAATAATATGTGAGTGGACTCCCACACACCAGAACGCACCTTCGCTCCTATTTATTGCTGCATGGAAGGGCATGTGTGTTTGGTGGTGCCTCGTCCATATATTTTGTGGGCGTACATTCCCCTGCAGGCTGAGGGCGGGATGACGCTCCGTCGCGGTGCACTTCCCTCGCATGCCGCCCACTGTGATTCATCATGCATCACCCCCTCACATATTCCGTGGTGCCACACCGCTGATATTGTTGCAGCCGCTGTGATTCCGCGTATTCCACGCATTTGGTTGCGCCACAATACATCCGCCCGTGTGGCCGCCGCATCCAAACAGCGGTGCCCAACACCGTGAGCGGCACTCCACATCCTTGCATGTCCCAACGCAGTGGTGTTGGACTGTCAGCCAGGCGTCAGACAACAAGAGAGTCTTGTGCTGGCAGTACAACACACGGAGCTGCAGTGAATGACTCGGGCGGCGACGCATCTATTCGTCGCAAGGCAGTGAAAAGGAGTCGGGCAAAATAATGCCGGCTGCATGCACGACACCACATCCACAGCCAAAGCATGCGACGTGATGTGTGTTTCACTGCTGCTGTGAAATGCCTGCAGACGACGTCACTAGTGGAGGCACACCACCCATGATCAGCGGACAGACAATAATCGGCATGGGAGGCCACAAGAGGCAGCAACGACGCCAACAGCAGGAGCAGCTCTCTCTCTCGCTATTTGTTGGCTCCGAGAAGTAAATATTCCACCAGCCACAGCTCACTATGCCATCGTGACACTCCATGCATGTCGTGGCTGCGTCAACACATCCTGCTCCCTGCAGCACCTCAAAGATGCCTCACTCCGTCCACTAAGTGCATCGGTGTGGGCCGTGCCTCGGCTGTTCGTGAGGACCACAACGATGTGAGGGTCACCGAGTCGCAGCATGTTTGCTGTGACGTTGTTGCATGGCACCTGCACACACACGCAGCGCCTGCATCCCTCCCTGTTGTGTCCGCCCTCTGCCGGAGTGGCCACACACACGGGCAGCAGCAAAATCACTTCACCCTCGACAATCCAAAATCAGCACCGACATCTCTCGCGATGCAAAGATCTCAGTTGCCAGCACGGGCTTCATGCCGCTCTGCCATCGACGCTGAAACACGGCACAGTGCACGCACTTATTTTCCTCGTGTGCAGTCAGCCGTTTGCTTCACACATTCTTCGACGGAATGACGTTCACAAAAGCACGCCACAAAAGCCACTGTGATCGCACAAGCTCTTGCGATGAGCGTCGGTGTGTGCATGCATCCGCTGCTCACACGTGCTGGCAGGCAGCCTGCAGCCGGTGCCCTCGTGCCAGTTCATCGGCTCCAGCACGGAAAAGAGAAAACGGCCTATTCCCGATGCACTTATTCCCACCAGCAGCACCAACACGCTGGTCGCCAGCCGTCATTCCCCAGCACATCCAGGAATGCCGAAAAGTGACGTGGAACTGTCAGCCAGCAATGCCACAACCCCGCACACATGTCGGCTCCACCAGAGAAGACACACAAATCACAAACAACACCCTTCACATGTCTTCCAAACATCATTCCAACACACCGCGACACGCCAAACAGAAGTATTCGTCACCCCAATGCACCTCCCCACACAATCACATAGTCCATGCACCACGCACGGCAGCAGCTCACACGCAGTCAAACAAATGTCCCTCGGATCAGTGGCCTCCACGTGCTGCGGTGGGAAGTAAACAAAAGAGACTGGCGGCCAAACCCCAAAAGAGTGCAACGACCGGCCGCAAGTCAAAGGAACGCAGCCACACAAATGAATTCAGTCCTGATGCCCTCAGCCTACCACCTTCCCCACAAGAGCTGCAAAGATTGAAAACAAACGTACCGTCCAATAAACTCTTTGTGCAAAGCCAAAAGAAGCCGCAGTGCCTCCTGCTGCCCTCACAGTCCGTTGATGACGCCTGGATGCGGATGGTCACCCATCGGTACTTCCAAACGACGCCGCACACCCGCGACGCATCCTGCGCTCTGAGACATGCGGCCCTCACTATCACCAGAGACGCCCACGCACCGTCAGTACGCAACAAATCGTCAAGAAACGAAGGATAAGTCAGGCTGACAGCAAGACACCCGCCGACAAATCACAGCACAAACATCATCACAAGCAGAACCAAAAGCAATGCAGGCCGTAGAGAAGCGTGAATCAACTGACGCATGTCAAAGAAAAGAAAAAAACTCAGTGGCGCTACAAGAATACAAGAGGCTGACACTCTCTCAACAATAAAGGAACAGTATAATAATACACAAAAAGCAAACAATTTAGGCGTCCACCGTCAAAGCAAGCCACAAATCAAATAAAGGGCAATGAAATGGGTGCACTCAACCACAAAACAAGTAAAACAATAAAACAAAAAGCCGCAGCGTGGGACGACCAGCGCACACACACTCTCATTGCTCCCGTAAAGCAAAACACACACACAGAGGGAGAGAGAGAGAGGTCGCCCACTCAATGCAATAAAAACAAAACAGAAACAGTTACGGTGCTCCGCCCATGCAGCCAGGCAGGACGGCAGCGGTGCGTGTCGTGCAAAAAAGAGCACCAACGGGCCTGCATGGGTGTGCATGCATATATACAATGGGCACATTATTGTGTTTGCTTCGTGGGGTGAGGTGAGGGCGAGAGTCCATGCAAGGGGACACACACACACAGAGAGAGAAGGAAGAATGTGTGTGCGGGCGGTGCATGGCTCTCTCTCCATCACTCTCACGCGGCCACCACCGCAGCAGCAGCAACAACAAGAAGAAGCAAAAGAGGGGAGGTGGTGTGGGAGACCGCGGCGCTGCTGTCACTGTCGCCAGGTGTCGTCGTACCATTTATTCGGGCGGTGGTGGGTTTTATTGCTGTTTGAGGTGCTGCCTCGCCGGCCGTGGGAGCCGGGTGGGTATCACTACCTTCAAGATCATCATGTGATTCATTCGGGTTGGGCCGCTGAGGATTGGCAGTATTCTCATCCGCCGTACTCCGGGCTTCACCACCGCTACTTGTGGAGTTTGATGATGCTGTTGTTTCCTCCTGATTGGTGGCAGGTGCATTCTCCGTCAAATTCTCTGTGGCTGTGGCTTGACCTTGTTGCTCTGCCACAATACCCTCTGAGGGATCTTCCGGTGGTTCGACCGTCGTTTCTGTTTGTGACGATGAGCTTTCATGCTTTTGATGTGTCAAAGTCTGTGCATCGTTTAATCCTTTTTGGCTTGCGTCTCCTTCTGGAGCTACGTGGGGTGTTTTTCTTCCAGGCAGTTTTACTTCCGGTGTTTGTGTTGTTGCCAATGTTGTTGGTTGTGCTGTTGATACTGGTGGTGGCGGTCCTTCCTCTTTTTTTTTCTCTTTGCGTGTCTTGGGTTCCGTGTTATCTTTTTCTTTCAATCCTTCCTGTACTTGAGGTGAATGCGAGTCCTTTACTGGTAGGGACTCCTTTGCGGGCGTCTCTTTTTTCTCTTCCACCCCTATTCTTTTGGTACTGTCATTTATTCTACCACTGTTATTCTCTTCTTCAGAAGAGTTTTCTTCTTCGTCTTCGGCATCATCCTCAGGAATTTCTTCAGTAGTTTGCGGAGGCACTTCTTTAGGTGTGAGAGATTCTTCTTGTCCAACTCCTGAATGTGGCTTTGGTGCGCCTAAAGCCCCTGGTGCTGAGGTCACACTTTCCGGATTTATTGGCAAACCTTTACCACCCCTCACAGAACCATCATCTTCCGCATCCTCTCCTGCAGCACAGCCGCCGCCGGCACCGCATCACAGCACGCAGAGGGCACACACCAGCAGCACACGGCCAATCATCATCATCGCCATCACTCCTGTCACTTGCGTGTAGCCTTCAGCACAAACTAACTCCCGTCAACGCAGAGCAAAAGGATAGACAAGTCACACAGAAACGCCCCGTAACAAACGGCAGCAGCCCAGCAGAGAACGCACAATGAAGAATATGGAATCAGTGGAAAAGAAAACACACAAAAACAGCCCCTTAGCAAGTAAGCAACAACAACAAAAAAAAAAACACCAAAAAAAATTAAAAACAAAACACAAGGAACACAACAAAAAAATTAAAAAAGTAAAAACACAAAAAACACAGAGCTGCAAAGAACGACTGAAGTTCACACGCTCCAGCACACAAACATGCGTCCACGCAAACAGTTGTGGGCGCGTCGTGCATATTAGTGCGTCTGGTATGCGTTCAACGTGGCGGATGCGGGGCACAACGCGGAGCACACAGCACGGCAGCGGAAGCAAGTGAAGCAAAACACAATCATTATTTTCTCTTATTTAGTACAGTGAACCACAACACACACGCACAAATCCCCGCGGTTGAGTGCTGGCACGCACAGCCCGCACACACCTCTTCAGCCCACAGCGGTGTACGCCAGCGCGGATGCGGCGAGCACCAGCGGGGCACACACCCACGCAGAGCTGCTGAGGCTGCCGTCGATTTCGCGAAGACGTGACGGTGCGCGGGTGGTCGTCGTAGTTGGCGCCTCTGTAGTCGTAGTACTTGGTGCCTTTGTAGTGGTCGTCGTTGTCGTGGTTGGTGGTTTTGTTGTGGTCGTCGTCGTGGTCGTCTCGGCATGATCTTTCCCTTTCTCATTTGTTTGATTCGCGGTAGGTCTCGGGACACCTGGTGTCCCTGGAGCATCGTTTCCTTTGTCCGGACCAGAGCCCGAACCTGACGACCCTGACTGATCGGCCGCCGTGGATGGTAAATTGGACGGTGGGCCTGGGACGCTTACATCAGTCTTATTTAATCCTTTTGCCGGTTCAGGCCGAACATCTGCCTCTGACGCGTGCACGGACGGGAAGCAGCAGCACAGGGCAAGCAACAACAGGGCGCACAGCAGACGGCACGTCATCATCATCGTGAGTGTGGTCGTTCAGTGGTGTGGAGCTGATCTGCACAGTGAGGGGCATGGAGAGCAACAGGGGAAACGAGAGGTGCGGCAGACACACACAGAGGGCACACCACATGAGGAGAGGGCAGCAGCCAGGCATGCACCGTACGCCGCACACCACGCACGACACACACTCCAATCCACGGCAGCAGGCACACACACACACAGCCCTGCCGCAACAACAACACACAGATGGAAGAGGGAGAAGCAAACAGGAGCGGCACACAAGGCTCCACCGCATGCACATACGGCGAGAGCGGTCCGTCGTGTCGGCACCCCTCACGGAGGGTGCGTACACACACAAGAAGGTGCAGCGCACACAGCAACACAAAAGCAAAGTAACAATACAAAAAGGAGATCCCCGCACACCACGCGGATTGTTGGTCCACGGGAAGTGCAGCCAATATTCACCACAAAGCAGCTTTTTATCTTGTTTTGGTTGTATGCTGCTACAATAACGAGTGAGTAGCGCAAGGGCCGTCCGTACAAAAGTGGCAAGTATTCCGTCGTGCGGGCTGGGGCAGTCACAAACAGTCGCAGTCCCAGTTCCCAACGACGAGGGCATTCCCGCAGTGGATGAGGCGGAGTCTCCCGTGGTCCGTCGGGGATCAGCAGCCCGTGGCGTCCGTGATGAGGCGGTGGCGGAAGAGCCTGGTCCATCTCGAGTGCCCGCGGTTGTGCTTCCTGCGTGTTTCGCCTGCTGGCATGCTTGGTAACTTCGGTGGCGACCTGCGCGCGAGGCACCTGTTAAGAAGACGGTGGCGCCATTGTGGCATCCGCATGGGAGGCCCTCGCGAACTATTATAACGCCAGGCTGAGCACGTCCGGCATGTGCCCTCATACTGTGGACGGACAAGCGCACTCTGCCGCAGGTTGGGCAGGAGGACGTCAATCCGCCGCTCGCTGGTCGACAAGGAGTCGCGGTGCTCACGTCGGGAAGAGGTTCCGGCGGAGGCAGAGGTGGGCCGGTCACCGCAGTGAGGGAGGGACGGCACCACCGACACAGAGGGTTCCTTGTGATCCGCAGGGCGCGTGCAGGCCTGTCGAAGAGTGGGCAGGAGTCGCATCGCGCCTGTGCGCAGTGCCGCCACTCGGGGACCGATGTCCGGGTCAACACCAGGAACAGAGTCCTCGCCACACCGACAGGCGTCTGTCACGCGGTGTGCGCGCCTTCCTTTTCCTCCTGGGCATCCTTCCATTATAACCTCTTGACGGCGGTAAGGAAGCCCACGTGCCAGGCATTGACGCAGTCCTGCGGGAGGAATCGTGCAATCGTGGCTTGTTTGTCAGCGACCTCACTGCGTGGAATATCGCAGTGTGAGGGGAAAATATAAAATCCACAGGGTGACCTCGCGTCACCAAGGAAAGCAGCATAATCCAAATTTGCTCAGTAACGCGGTCTCGCACGGTCGGTGGACAACGCGGGGTGCCTACATTGCCGAGAGGGAGTCCGTTTCCTCCAGCATTCGTGTGGGCGATTGGGATGCTCCCAGACAAGGAGGTATGAGATGTCTAAAAACATTTTCGATCGCAAGGCAGTCTGCCCTATATGAGCATGCGAGGCTGCCAGCTGCTGCACGATGTACCTCCACAGGGAGATCATTTGTCGTGGTGGAGTCATATAATAGCGCAGCGGATCCAGATGCGAGTGCAGCGAGAGACGAACGACCGTCCGTCCACAATTCAAAATCACAATCCCCCAAAGAGGAGTGAGTAGAATAAAAAGCCGTGCGCCTGACATCGTCAGAGGCGTCTTCGGCAAACAGTGGCTGATAAAATCTCACGTTGTTGCAGATCACAGTGTCCCAGGAAAAATTCGATGTTGGGCAAGAGGCGCGCGAATGTGGTTGTGGGGTGTCCCAATAATGTCACAGACGCGTAGCAATCCATTAATAGCAGCATCTCTCGGAAGCGGATTGATGTCGCTGCCTTTCCCATGCATGGACGGCGGCATAGGTTGCGAGTAGATAAGGGAACGCAAATCCTCGTGATCATGGAGGCGTATATAGCGTTCGTATTGTGTGAATGCACGACGCCAGAGTGCCTTCCGGAGCGGAAGAATATTGGCCTCCAAATAGACAGATGTGTCTTCCGTAGATGCGCTCAGGCCAAGAATGTTTTGCTACCGTCGCGGTACCGTACTTCCATATTATGGAGGTGGGTGGGGGCGAGTCACGGGACAATTGCCTCGCCACTATGAAATAGCACACTATGAACGTATCCAATCAAAAAGGATCGCATGGTGTGATGGGACGCGTCCGCCTCCGCGACCAGACGCAGCTGATGGCGGCGTGGCATGGTCCTCTTTGCAGCGGTGGAAGCATGCGTAACAAAATTAAGAAGTTGATCGAACGTGCTGCCCAGTAAGCGCACTGGGCGTGACTGAATACGCAGGTTCCCGCTAACAAGATGGAGATCGACCATGTCCTCGTCGGACCGTGTGTGTGTGAAGAGATGTGGAATAGAGCAGCTTTGCTCTTAGCGACGTTGATTTTTAGGCTGTGCTCGGCAGCCCATGTGGCCACAAGAGACAAGAGCGGTCGCATTGCCGCAGCACAGGCATGGATGTCCGCACCTGAGGCAACAAGCGTGTGTTCGTCAGCGTACATGAATGCGGAGGCAGAATAGATGCTGCCCAGGCGGCGCAGCAGACCATCCACACAGTAGAGGGAGAGTTGGGGTCCCGGGACGCCGCCTTGCGGTGCTCCAGCTGAGGCGAGTTGTTTCCGGGAGTGCTGTTCACGAGTGCATACCCTAACATAGTGGCCCCGCAGGTAGTTGTGCAGCCAGCGTTTGGTTCGAGGCCAAGGCGCGGAAGTCTGTCAAGCATGCAGAATAAATTCCCATGGTCAGTGGTGTCGAACGCAGTCGGAAAATCAATCGAGACTACGAGCGAGCGATGGCGACGAGGGTGCCTTGTGGGGGCGTCGTCTCCAGGGCGCTCATACTCCACAATGCCAAACTCATTCAATCCACGAGTAATGTGTCGACAACAAGTGCCACCACGTCCGACGTAGAACGCGGAGGTGCAAATCCAAAGTTGACGTGGGTGGTGCGGCAATAACGCTGACAGACGGCGGTGAATCACTCCTTCGGCTAACTTTAGTAAAACAGAGAGCAGCGTGGTGGGTCTGTAACTCTCTGGGCGGCATGGATCCTTCCCAGGCTTGGGGATAGGAATAGCGTTTCCATTTTCCAGGAGCCAGGCAGGCTGCCGTTTGCGAAGGAGTTGTGGATCATCGTTCTAATTGTGCCATGCGACGGGCCCGTGACGGTGCAGGAATTCATTCAACATGTCGCCGGGCCAGGGGCTGAGCCAAGCAAAGAGTCACGGATGGTCACGTCAAGTTCATACGGTGGGAAAGGCCGATCCATTTCCCAGCCACCAGGAACCAAAGGAATGCAGCGAGCAGCAGCAGTATAAGGCGGTATGGCACGTGAAACCGCACAAAATGACGGACAAGCAGATTTGCCTGTTGCCGAGGCAGGGCGCATACGCGGCCAAGTTCAGTGCGGAGCACAACCGATTCCAGAGGATGAGGGTGCGGCGCCACCACGCCGTGAAGATATCGCCACCTCGGGCTGGGTGAGGCTCCAAGTCTTTTCGCGCGGGCTTCCAGAAGCACAGCGGAGCCACGGCGTAAGGCTTGAT